CACAGAAGCTACCATGGAATGTCCTACTGACAATAAGGCTAATTCTATACAATAACCCTAATTCTATATGCATTAATCTTACAAAGAAAAAGAAAGTACATTACTTCTGAAGCGAAGCTGTGTTTCAACAGCTTGGCTTCTCTGGAAGGCCACGTTATTCAGCAGAAAGCCACACGTGGAATGTTTAGGAACATCAGCTGATACTGAAAGCACATTTCAGAACACAATGTACCATATTTGGAACTCTTAATACTGTAATCTCTACTTTTCCAACTCAGATAGCTCAACTCTACTTCTAACTGAATAGAAGTAAGTCTTATAGAACTCACTTCAAGACAGGCATTACATCATCTTTTAGAAGCCCCATTAATTAGCAGTATTCTATATACTGCAATGTTTGGGTATTAACACACAACTGCAATTTATTACAAACTGGTAGAGAAAAACGTGGCTGCCAAAGGGGCATACAGTCATCTTAAGTGTCAGACTCTATACTCACATTAGAAGGGTACATGAAAAATACAGAGAGTCCCAGTCAAGTTCCATGTTAACATTATCGGATTGGAACTTGATCCTTGAAGTCCCTTCCAACCCAAGTCATTCTATTATTATAGGTGGGAAGCACTAACAAAATAAAACCAAATAAGAAAAGATTTTGTCCTACTTCATTTGCAAATTCAATGCAGCTTTGGCATTTTTGTCATTACGGTCACCAACCAAACAGCTAGAGACAAAATGGCTATTCAGTAAATTGAACTTATTTGTATGCAGTGATGAAAATAAGACCAAAAACAACTTGTGTAACTACAACACACTAGTGGGTTGGACAGAAGGCATGTAGTCATTGAGTAATGATATTAAAAAAACCAATTAGGGATTAATTGCACTCACAAGTTCAGGATTTAGTGCTGCAATACGTACACATAGCCAAAACTCACAATAAGTATAATAGTCATCATGACTTGCATAAAAATAATCAAGTTCTGATATTTTTATCCTCACTGTTTACGATTAAAATTGTATTAAGTGCCATTAAAATGACTTCAAGTATTTTTTTTAATATTACATCTGAAGAATCATGACTACTAAAGACAAATTAATACATTAAAACCATGAAGTGACATGATTGATAGTATGCTACAGTAAACAACCAGTGTTCTACCACCGAGCTTACCAGCATCTCTACAGATAGCCATGACTCTAAATTCTTCAACTGAAGTTACCTACTACCTTTACAATCAATAGAATAAAGAGAACCCTATTTTACTCAACTCCAGATAGCAGATAAATGGACATAGCAGAGCTGTGGAGGAAAAAAAAACTTTCAAGCTGCTGTCTGATAACATTGAAGTTGCACAAATTTCACCATATGCTTTAGATAAGATGTAGTCCATGTGAACATAAAGGTACAGATTTATATGCTCAAGTTTACACATAACACTTAAAAAAAGGTACTATATGAAGTTAGTTTTTCCACACGTCTTTGGAGATCAGCTACTTCAACCTGCAAGAATACCTGCCGAAGCTCTATGATAAATTAGTAAAAAGCTTGATACAGGACAAGTTCACATACAGTCCTTGCATAGAAAACATCTTGTTTTGAACTGCAAAACACACAAGCAGTTTAAAAGGTTGACATCTGCAACACTTTTTCCTTTTATTAAACTAGAGTTCCAAAGTATTGAGCTAAACTGAAAATAACCTGCAGAAGGGAATGCGTACAGCTGTGTGTAACCACACAGCTTGCTCAGTCTCCAGAAGCATCAGGATTTTGTTCCTGCAATCACATATACCCAATGGAGGACAAATATACATCACCAAATCGCCCTATAAAACTGAAATTGCACTTGTGGATATCTCTCACGATTTCTTTAATTACTTCTTATTGCACATCCTTCTAACTACTGTCCTAAATTCTTTGATATATTTCCACCCTTCCCTGTAATTTTGCCTCTCCCATGACAGATAAGTTCTTAATAGCAGAGCGTGCTTCCTGCAGCATTGTTCTTTGGAATAAATAAATAGGAATGTCACTGCGACCTTGGAAGTATTTCTTTTTCATGTACAATACAATCTTTTTAGAGAGTACCTCCCAACAGATTGCTAAGCCAGAGCTCAGACTGGTGAAGTGCAGCAGCATTTGGTACCCTTGGTTTCAAGCATTTTGCTACTAATAAGGAGATTGCTGAAAAACCACCCAGCATATCAGCTGCTTGCTGTGACACCTTGATGAAGAAGGGAGGCCACCAGCAATCACCACCAGGAGAAGACAGATTATTTCACCTGGTTTCTTTCTGTTACCAGGTGAGTAATCCAAATTAACATCAGCTGAACCCTGAACCTGAAAATTCCTTTTTTAAGTAATTTATCTCCAGCCTTTACTTAAGAAGTGGTCAGAGGACACTGTGAAAACAGTAAATTCTCTGCTAAGTGGAACCAAGGTAGACATTTTGAATGCTTTATGAATCCAGAGAGAAGCCGCTTCCACGAAGATTTGTCTTTCCCTCTTTAAAATCTTAAAATTACCCAAAAATATTAATTGAATGTGTGATACACCATCACTCAGCAAGCATCGAGTTCCCAGATAACATTTGTCCATTCAGTAGAGGACCACTATCTGACAGCCTTCGGGGACAAGCCCTACAGCACTCGAAACCCTTTTTCTCACGATATGGAGATGAAACTTGTGAAGATCCATTGAGGTTCCTTAGGCTCCTTAGTGAGACCATTACAGCTTCTCTGCCAGGGAGCTGCAAGTTTCCTCAGGAGGAGAGTGACTGAAGCACCAAGGAGCAAGTTATACTTCATGACTAAGGTGGCAGAACACAGTTGTTATCCTCATCACCTTCCCTGCTGTATTCCCCTCCCCAAACTACTTTGCTTCTATTTTCCTTCATCTCATTTCCTTCTCTTTCTCCATCTTATTTTTTCTTCCATTTATACATGCATTAAAATAAAGCATTTGTAACCTGGCTAGTTGGGACAGAACTGACCCAAGGAAATTCTCACAGTCAACTGCAGAACTAGAGAAGAGGTTTCATTACTTCAAACTTCAGTGTTTTTATTTCTTCCTCCTCTTTTTTTTTTTTTTTTTTTAAATCCTGAAAGTCATCCACCAGTCTAACAGGCGTTACCTCTCCCCTACAACACTCACTAATATTTAGCATTACCATGGCTACCACAACAGTGCTATTAACACAATCCATGACATTTTCCCATTTCTCTATTACCTACCAATGGTGAACCACAGTGCATTCCAAATTTCAGTGCCTTTCACATACATTAAACCTAACATGCTTCAGTGCCTCAGAATTTCCTCCTGTGAAGGAGGATCAGCTTGGTATGGTCAGTAATTTCAGCAGTATATCATGAAGTTTATCTGATGTGCAAATGCAATTTGCTGTCTGGATGCCTCAACCTTTTTATGTTGAGACCATTTGACTTTTTTAACAAAATGCCTTTTAAGTCTTGATTTGTACTCCACTCGGTTTTGATAAGACATGACATTATGATATGATGAGTTAGTTGATTCTAAGTAAATTTGATTTATCCCACTTTTTGGGCTGGTATGCTTTACAAGGATGCCGTCTTTTAAGATAGGATTGATCTTAATGTAAGCTGACAGCACATTTTTTTTGTGAAACACTAAGTCAGAGAGAGGTAATGAAAACAAGATATAGGGAAAACGAAGTAAAATTTACACAACAAAAATTAATATTCAGAAATATTTGCTCATCTCCATCAAAGGAGATAAGATGATAAATCAGTTTCCAGAACAATTCTGCAAGATGTTTGCAACTTTGATTCTTATTCATGAAATCAGACACAGGCTACAGCTGCTGAAGCATAATCTGACCATCCTGAGAATATCACAGAAAGTTCTTGAAGCGCTTTCCATCAAACAACACTGCCACAGCTACGAATATCCCCAGACAGAAGTAAGGCATAGGTACCTTTCGTGAAGCTGAAAGGTTTTCGAAGAACCTCTCCCATCTGGCTGAGCGCACTGCTCAGGTGCCATTACACCCTCGTTCCTTCGCACTATTCTCATAGTTACGATGCAGCGTTACGAACACTGAAGTTTGGGATGCTGCAGCAATGCTTCCCTCTCCCATAGCTGCTTGTTTCTCATTTCTGATGCTCTAATCACCTGAGCTGCTTTGATAGCTGGGTGGGAAAGGACCGGAGAGGTTCGGGAGTTGAACTGAAGCACGAATGTGTAACCCAAAGAGCAGAGCCCCCTGCACTTCCCCCCACCGAGTTGCAAGCAATTCGTAAACACTTTGGTAGGTGGTGTGGATGCGATGAAGAAGAGCTGGATGCCTAATGGTGAGAACTGAACGTTGTACAGAACTGTGTGTCTGCTAAAACGAAGCTAAGTTCGACAGGCTGGGTACGACAGCATTCAGCGCAGCCACGTTCAGTTTGGAAGGAAAGGGGCTGCCAACAGCCCCTCAGCCTCCTTCTGATTAGCAGCGTTTCGCACCGAGGGAAGAAACCCGAGGCAGCTCGGCACACCTGAGACAAGAGAAGATCCCCTACTTCGAGAAACGCTCCATTCCACGCCAACCCCAACTCGGGAAAACGAGAGCTTCGAGACCGCTACAAAACGCTACCCCCGGCGGAGGCTTTGATCGGAGACTCGTTAAGGAGAGGAAGAGTTGCAACTTCTGGCGCTGCCCACGGCCCCGCGCTCCCTCCCGCAGCGCTGCCCGCAGCCCGAACGCTCGGATGCGAGGCGGGCGACAGCGGGGCAGCGTTACCGGAGGGAACTTCGGCAGCGCTTCGGGACCAGCACCTCCGCATTAACGCTCCCTCATGGGAGCACCGACCCCGGGCGAGCACGGCTCTCCCCTTCCTGATGCTCGCTGACTCTCCACAGCGAAACTCCCCTAAGTTCCCCCGCAACCGTTCAGCTCTACGTCTCCAAACTTCCCATGCGCGGGGACGATAACAACACAACACCAGAGAAAAGTTGAACACGCTCCGCACACCCTTACCTCCGCGAGCTCCCGCTGCCAGCACCTCCGCGACGGGCGATAATCCCCAGTGCGCTGCCAGGAGAACCAGGAGGAGCGCGGACATCGCGGCGGAGCTCTGCCCGCTGTCGGGCTGCGGGAGCGGAGCGGCAGCGCCGCCGTGCCGGGAGACTCTGCGGGAGCCGCTGCCGACGCCGGCACTTTTCAACGCGGTGCGCACCGGGGCTCGGCTCACGCAGCGAGCGGGCAGCGCGGGGCGCCGCCGGTCGGCACAGCCACGCTCCGCCTCGCGCCCCGCCTCGCGCCCGCCCCGCGCCCGGCGTGGAGCAGGAGGGGAGGCGGCTCTGCGCTGCTGCCTGCTTTGGTTCTGGAGGGTTTGGAAAGCTTTTTTTTTTTATTATTATTATTATTATTATTATTATTTGCAGACGAGCTTCGTCAGAGGTGACTCGGCGGAAGAAAAGATATATAAACATGTTTCTCCCTGCCTTATCAAGCTGCAGAGATGAAAGAAAGTAGCGTGAGGAAGCTACTTTGTACATGCACGAGCTTCAGTTGCCACCCAAAGCATCTTCAGCAAACTTCACCTTGGTTATTGGTGGTCCTTGAAGTAGATCCCGGTGGGCACTGAATCCTGGAGTCGTAGAATCATAGAATTATGGAACAGTCTGAGTTGAAATGAATCCATAGGGATCGTTGAATCCAAGCCCTGTCCCCACAGCAGCACCCGAACCCTGAAATGGGTGAAAGCAGTCTCTCCTGAGCTCCAGCAGCTCGGGGCCGTGCCCACTGCCCTGTGCAACTGTTCCGTGCCCTCTGGTGCAGAACCTTTCGCCGTTACAGAGAGCAGAGCTCAGCGCTGCCCCTCCGCTCCCTGTGAGGTGCTGCAGCCACCATGAGGCCTCCCCTCAGCTCCTCTGCTCCGGGCCCAACAAATCATGTTGAGTCCGCCAAGCTCTGCTATCCAACCTGACCCTCCCCTGATCTCAAAATTTGCGTTTGTTCCCCGTTTGGTTCAGCAGAATCATAACTTCTGCTTTACATAAGTGTATTAGCTTGAAAGTGTCACGCAACATAACCATGCTTTGCTTATCTCAGTTCTGCAATATTTTATTTAATCCGATCCCTTTGCCAGATCAGAGGTGCTAAAGCTTTCACGTCACCCTCAGATATGAATTTTCTCCAAAGACAGCAAGGTGCTAAAATTGACTGCTGAGACCTTTACATTTCAAGAGTAAAGCCTCAGTCCTTTTAACTTCATGTTTATATTCCCCAACATGGAACCTAATGCCTTTTATATTGAAGTGACATTGCGATATTGAAGCCAAGAAACTCCAAGGGACAGAAAGACCAAGTGATGGTGGAAGGAGCAGCACTCAACCCAGGAGCAACGTGGAAAACATAATTATTTCTGCTGAAATGGAGGAAGGGCCCCATGGTGCAGCTGCCCAAGAAGGTAATACCCCCATCCTGGCCCCAGTGACTGCTATGGGGTCAGCCTGGCAGGATTCACAGGGTAGCTTTAGTACTGCAAATAATTTACAGCTGTGGGGAAAAATCCTCATGGATCAAATTCTGCATTTGTTTACTGTCCACAGAGCCTGTATAATTCCATTGTGATCAATTAGTATATATATATGACCATAACTGAGCAGGGTTCTAGATCTCAGTGTAGAAAGCCCTTGCTAATATAGTAATGAGAAGGTCTAAATCAAAGAGAAGAAAAATCTGGTATTCTTTGTGGTCTTGGGAATCAGTGGTTTTTCAGTATGACAGTGAATGTCATTCAGGACATTTACAGGGGAGATCCTTGTGTAAGCCACCAGAGGCACCTTTAAGGCTTTAGTGCATTAAGTATAATTTCAAACAACTTCTTATATTCCAGATATGAAAAGAGGGCGGATGTCAGAGCAAAGTGAGAAAATGTGTAAAGGAGTACCATGGAATTCCAAATTGTCTGGAATTCTTGCTTAAAATTAGAGACATTTCCCACATGCCATGTCTGTCACACGGTATAAGGAAATGGGTGCATGCAGAAAAGTTTTGTGTTGCCCCATTCTTGGGCTATGGAAGTATCTTTTACAAAATCTTAGGATCACAGAATGGTTTGATGTGGATGGGACCTTTTAAGGCCATTTGGTCCAACTCTCCTGCAATGAGCAGGGACACTTACAGTTCAATCAGATGCTCAGAGCCCCATCCAGCCTGACCTTGAGAGTCTCCAGGGATGGGACATCCACCACCTCTCTGAACAACCTGTGCCAGTGAACTATCATCCTTCCACCCCAATTTCTTGCATCTTCTGCAAAAGCGTGAAGGTTTGCACAGTTACCAGTGGCCATGCTTTTCCCCAAATGTTACTTGTTAATTGGCATGATGGGTTACTACATTTTGCCCTAAAAACACCTCAGCAAAAGTCCTATTTTCAGCCATATCTTGCTTTCCTTCTACTTTGCTCCTCTGTTGTCTTATTCCACATTTATCTAGCAACATTTCTCAGTGCTATTGAATAATTTTTTTTCAGAATATGGTACTCATTTAAAACATTAACATTTCAAGAATTAATTGATCTTGCTTTCAGTATTGCAGATCCCAGATGCACCTAAACTTATAAAAATATTTAAATAACATTTGTAATAAAAGTCAATGGTTTCCTTGTTTACAGGAAATAAAGTGTCATAAGCAGTCAGGATTATGATTAAAAAGTGCAATTACCTGTAAGCAAGCATTTGTCAAATTAAGGCCTAAAAATGTGGCATGCTTTAAGCCAGCACTGAAGCAATAATTATCCCAGAAGCTTGCTTTTAAAATGCAGGTTGTTGAACAAATAGATGTTGACCTTTGATAAATCATTCCCTGTTTCATTTCCATTGAACGTCACTGGCTATGAAGTCACATTGGTGTGATTGAGTTGGATGACTCGAACAGTGCAGTGCAAATACACAGGAGCAGGGGATGTCCCATGTCTCCTTTTCAGATCAAATAAAGCAACAAAAAGCTCCTTCATATAAAAGCTGTCATATATAGCTTCTATGAGTAAACCTACAATTGTTTAATGAAGTGATCAGAGGAATAATCCAACCCAGTATATATATGCATGTCTGATTCAAACTCTTTAAATGACAACCTGGTCTATTGTGTGTTCTGCCTATAGCTCAGAACTGAAAAAAGGAAGGAAAAAAAGGAGATTTGAGCTGGATGCAGCTGAAAAAGAATTGAATGTATTTTCCCCACTACAACCCCAAAAATGTAATTATATAGGAAAACAGAATGAAGTGCTGCTGAAGAGAAAATCCAAAGTTAGAAGTGCTGTTAGAGATCTGTTTGCTCCTATGGTGCTTTCTAACTCCTTCCTCCTAATCAGAGAAATTAACACTGACAGGTTAAATAAATGAATTCATCAAGCTATAGAATATTATGAAATCTCTTATTGAGATAAATTAAACAAAGTAGAACCAATCGTTCGTACTCGCTGGCGTAACACAACACGGGAATATTAATTATCAGCCAAAGGTAATTCTGACATTAGGCACTATGAAGCTGCCTCAATTGCCTCACTGCAAATTGCCTTATGGCTTTACTAATTTATTCCCCATCACCAGGTGGGGAGTTGGTGTCTGTCACCCAGCAATCCCTGCAGTGCCAATGTCGCTGCGATGCTCAGCCCTTTGCAGAGGTTGCTAGGGGACGGTGCTGGCAGCCAGGCTGGAGGCACTCGGGTGTCCTGCCCTGGCCCACCAGCCAGAGAAAAGTTGCCAGGCAGCAGCTGACCCAGGGGCAGAAAGAAGGAAGAAAAACCTGAGATTAAAAAAACCCACAAAACCATCCTGTCCAAATTCACAGCTTTGCGTTACAAGCCGTCCCTAGCAGAGAAAACATCCCTGAAGGAATTTTTCATTACTGCAGTGCAACAGTGGTTTCATTGCTAAAGACTTTCTGAATGTGCATCTTCAGCTGCTGCTGGAAAAGTTCTTCATGTGTGAGCTGCTGTATATTTGCACACTGAGTGCTGTGGATGGAAATTGCTGCCTGGTACTCAAGAGGTTTTGGCATGGCTTTAATGCATAAATTGGGAGGTATTAAGGAAAATACATGAAAATAGATGAGTATGGAGTCTTGCCACAGAAATGGAACAAAAAATGGAACAAGAAAAACCCAACCTTCTAAGCACAAAACCATGATCCCTGTCTATGTGTTCCCAATCTATGTATTCCCAATCTCCATCTTGTAAAGTTGTTCACTTATACCATCCTGCTTGTAAATGCCCATGGAGCATTACAAGATGATGGAACACTTCAGGTGAGATGCAATGAGCTTATGCATGATGGCTAAAGACAAGGCAACAAAAACCTGCTCATGGATCACAGCACATGGAGGTCTGCTTGGGACAAGGGATGTTTCACCATTAGCCAGTAGGCTTCAGCAAGGACATAAATGAGACAAAGGGAAATGATTGCTATGACAAGGGGAAATGGTTTCAAATTAAAAGAGAGAAGATTTAGTTTGGATATAAGAAAAAGTTTTTTACAATAAGGGTAATGAGGCTCTGGAACAGGTTGCCCAGGGAGGTGGTGGATGTCCCTTTCCTGGAGACACTCAAGGTCAGGCTGGATGGGGCCCTGAGCACCTGATGGAGTTGTGGGTGTCCCTGTTCATTGCAGGGGGGTTGGACCAGATGACTTTTAAAGATCCTTTCTGATTCAAACAATTCTGATTCCATGATTCTACAATCTTAATGCTGATTGCAAGGTTTGTTTCTCATAAAAAATAGGCTCGTAAAAGTTATCAGAACAGAAAAGAACTCATCACCTTTTGAAGTCTGCTTAAAGGACAACTTTGCAAAAAAAGGAAAATCTCTGTCAGAAGAGAACTGTGCTTCCACATCATTTTATTACCCAATAAATTAAATGTCTCATGTAAAAACGGGGCCAAATTTCTTATCTGGCACCCTGCTGCACTCAGAGGTGCTGCATGAGCATGCAAGGACATATCAAGAATATTTCCAATAAATAGAGCAGAAACTCCTTGTCCCCAAAATACTTTTCCTAGCTTATGCTGGGGAAAGATATTAACAGTAGGAAAAAGAAAAAAAAAAAAAAAAAAAAATCTAGTTACACGTGTTTCTAACTGGCCTGGTCAGACTTGTGTCAACACTGCATGGCATATTAACCAATACAAGCTATATTTCTCTCCAGTTTATCCCCAAATAATTACAA